GAAGTTTAGCATTGTTTAGCACAGTTATCTAAAAAGAACAATACCCTCTTTATAGGGAACAGGCATAAAGATCTTAATAACCTTAGGAATAACAAATCATATATTATTCTTTTATGAATGATAAATACCTTCCTGTGCAGAAACTTTATAGTCTTTCTGTGAAAACTTTTCATATTATATAAAAAAGTAGTGTTTCTAGAACTACTGAAAAATGAGCATATTAGATGAATTCTGAAGAAAGAGCTTAGATGGTCATGTGCATTGAGTGAACAGTGTAACCATAGTCTCAATGTAGAAAGGCAAGAGGGTACAGACAGCACTCAGGCATCCTCAGGGAATGGGTCACAGGGCTAAGAACTGCCCAGATTATTTCAAAATCAGCATTTTTTCAGATGTCACTAAATTTTGAGAGGAGTGTTACTGATAAATCTTAACAAATCATTGAAATAATTTAATTTAATGAAGTAGAATAAATTCAAGAAAGCTAAATAAAGTTAAAATTAAGTGGATTTTCTTGAGAAAAAAAAAAAAAAAAAACCAGTCTGAAGATCTCTCAAGCTTCTAAACCCAGAATACTGGCAAGGTTATAGAAACAATCACAGCAGAGTAAGGTTCTGGTCTGTCCAAACAAATGTCTGTAAAAGTAATCTTAAAATAAAGAAGTATATAAAATGGGAATAGAATGCAAATAGTTATGTTTAGAGAAAATATAAATGTAATGAAGGTCCTCACGTCCTCAAAGACAGCCATTGACTTACAGGGAAACATTTGTGAAAATACATGCATATTTCTGGAATTTTCAGCCTGTTGGTATAATAACAAGCAAAAGTACAGCATCACAATTCAGTAACATAAATATATTAGGAAAAAACGCCTTCTATAAATCAAGCACAGAAAATCTCTCTCCTGTAAGTGAATGATATGAATATTCTTTATTTTAGTATTTATTTATTTTGAGTTGGAGTCTCATTCTGTCACCCAGGCTGACCGCGGCCTTGAATGTGCCATTGTACTCCAGCCTACTTCCCCCTCAGCTTTCCAAGTAACTGGAACCACAGTTGCGTGCCACCATGACACAGAGACAGGTCTGCCAAGTTGCCCAGGTCGCTCTCAAACACTTGGGCTCAGGCAATCCTCTCACCTCCACCTCACAAAGTGCTGGATTACAGGCATGAGCCACCATACCTGGTTTATTTTAGTTTAGCTCAAAATTTTGACCACATGAATGTGGTATAAAACCAAATAATTTGTCCCAGTCTGTCAGAGCATGGAATATTTAGAAAACAGCTGATATAGTTTGGATGTTTGTTCTCTCCAAATCGGATTGAAACGCGAAATGGAGGTAGGGCCTACTTAGAGGTGCTTGGGTCATGAGGGCAGATTGCTCATGAAATGACTTGGTGCTGTGTTTGTGGTGAGAGTGTTTATTAGTTGATGTGAAAATGGATTGTTTTAAAGAGCCTGGCACCTCCCTTCTCTCTCTTGTTTCCTCTCTCACCACGTGACATGCTTGTTCTCCTTCATCTTCCCCATGATTGTGAGCTTCTTGAGGCTTCACTAGAAGCAGATGCCAGCTCTATGCTTCTTGCATAGGCTGTGGAATGTGAGCCAAAATAAGCCTCTTTTCTTTATATATAATTCCAGTCTCAGGTATTTCTTTATAGCAGCGCAAAACTGTCTAATACACAACCCATAGGTCTAGTTCTTGACAACACTCCACTGCAACTCTGTGAAATATTTGAGTACCATCTTAGGAATTATCTAGAGAAGATAGAGGAGGAAAAGATAGATGATAGTTGCAGTGCAAAAGTTAAATCCTGTGATGGATGAACTTTGCTTGTCGCTTGACACAGAGGCAGTAACAGAGATGAACTAATGGTGCCATGGCTTCTGTGGTAATTTTTTTCTGTGTGTGATATTTTCTTTCCATTGGAATTTTGTGTATATGTTGACATTCTTTGCTTGAAATTTTCTTTCACAAGCATCTTATTCTCTGAAACTATTAAACTCAACTGCCTTACTTTCCTTTCCCTCTCTCACCTCTAGTCCATGACTTGGATAGCTTGTTTTGCTGACCATTTTGAGAAGGCTTATGACAATCTGAATGCTGTTATTCTCTCCGGGTATGAAATTACTGCTGTTTTAAATAAGCATCTTAAAGTTATAATATGCATGTTTCTTGAAAAAAATTTACAACAACTTCAAAGAGTTGATAGATTTGCAAGAATTATTGCTTTTACATCATTGAAAATATTGGTTGGACAAAAATAACAAATGATAAAGAAATACAATCAGCATTTGAAAAAAAGAAAAAATAATAGTTTGCATTTCCTAAAAGTCTCCAAACTAAGGGAATTTTATTTCACTTCTAATTTATTCTGTAATACTAAAATAAGAAAAAGTATACAGCTGTGTTCTGAAGTGCCTCTTCTTCTTTGTGAGGAAGTACTGTTTTCTTAGAATTAGCCTCTGACCTGTTGGTAATAGAACCATATGTTGAATAGTTTCATTATTTTGCTGAATCTTGATCCCATATGCAATTGTGGAACTTCATCCCCCAAAACTCTGTCTCACTATCTCTGAGAGTTCTTAAAGATATCCTAAATGAGCTTGTTAATAAGTACAGTGATTATTGTACTTATTGCCTGGTATATTTTTCTTGCATGTCTTTTCTATTCCTTCTTTGTCTGACCTCCCATGAACCATCCTCAATACACTGGAGCTCAAAAAGTCTGAAAACTGTTACAAAGTAGGAAAGAAATCTTTATAACTTCGGGCTTTTACCCTAGTTTTGAGTATTATTGAAATGTTTCATAGAATATATAAAATTTTTAGTGACATAGATCTTTTAGGTTTTAATGACAAGCCTGACTTACTCCCTGCCCCCGCCCCCAACTCCAAACTCAGCTGAGTTCAGTGTGGGAGCTGAGCTTGGATGGCTCTGAGTGATAGGGAACAAATGGTACTTTCAGTTGTTAATCTTCTCTTTGGTTCTCCTCATTGCTGAGTCATTCTAGTCATGCCTGCACACATACTCCCTGATTGGGAGTTATTTCTTAGGAGGCTCCATAGTGGCTTAAGCAGGAGCATCTTCAACTTCTCACTCTTCCTGGTGAGATCTAAGATATTGGGTCTCTCCTCTTCTTATGCAATTTCAGAGTTAAATGATTCCTTAGATTCTTTTGATTTAGTCTGTGATTTTGTATTTTACGTAAATAGCTACATAACTGGTAGCCAGTCTACCTGAAAGAAAGTTTGATTGAGTGGTCAAGTCTTTGTAAAATTGTTATGATAACTATTATAAATGAGTAGAAAATGAGTGACTAGAGATTTTAGTTATGACCTATTACTTGAAGAAGGTAATGGCCTCTAAATATTTGAGGGTACTTATTATGATTGGCATTTTTTTCAATATTGATGACTTTTTAAAAAAGTTACAGGGATGTAAATACAGTTAAAAACTGCAAAATGGTTTTGAAAAGTGAGTCACATTAAACCACTCAGAGAATTTGGAGTGACATACTCCTGTATGCAGCAGCGAACAAAAAAGATATCAATTAGTACAACTACCACTCCTAACCTCAATCAGAAATGGGAGAAAAGAAAGTTGATCATTAGACTTTTTCCACACCCGAATCACTCTTTCCTCACTCTCATGTCAAAGGGTGTAAGCACATTATATATATTTTTCATCCTTTTTTACATTATAGATATGTGGGGTACAAGTCAGAATTAGCTACATAAGCAGGCTTCATGCAGGTGAAGTTTGGACCTCCAGCTGGCCCTCACTTCCCCTGATTTAGGACCAGATACCCTCTGTGATGCTACATGCCCTCCCCTTTCTTCCTCCCCTGGCAGTGTCCATTGACTGCTGATCCCTCCCTTGCACAAATGGTACACGTTTTCTTGAGTATCCTAAAAACCCTACCATAAACCTGTCATCTTTAGGCAAGACCTCCATGTTATGGTGCCATCATTCTATTCTGCACCCTATTAAAAACAGACTTCCACAAACTGACATGTTAGAAAATACTTTCACAACAAATTTGTCTCTCTCCTGGGAATGTTTATTCTGTAATGGCAGAGCATGATTTTGCTTAAAGGAGCCCTGATATTGGAATTTTGGATAGTTGGGTGATATGTAGGTAGAATTAATTATATTCTTACAGTTCATCAAATTACATGAAATGTCCTTTCTCCCCCTAAAACTGATGTTATTCAGGATGCACATCAGTCTGGAGCTACATGTCTATAAAAGAAAAACAATATAATGTATTAAGAAGAACATGTGATTTAGAGTCCTGGCTCAACATTTCCTACTGTGTGATCTTGGACAAGTCTTCATTAGCTTTGTAAATAGAATATGTTAATAATACATACCTCATGGGGTTTAGTCAAAAGGAAAAATAAAATATTGCAGGTTTAGGTCTTTTATGAGCTGCTATGTGCCACATTAAAAATGGGCCAGTGCTGGGAATATATATTTCTATTTCTGTACATACATGTGTATATAAGAATTCCACATTAGGCACAAGCCATTTTATGAAATAATATGTGTATGAATATTTTTATATAAATTCCCTCATCTACAAAATTATTTGTTTTTCCAGTATGACTTTTATCATTAGTCTTGGAAATGTTTAGTTTATACCATTTAAGGTAGAGTTTCAGAGGGCTTGATGTAAAGAGGAGAAGTCTTTTTAAATACTTTGAAACCTCTGTATCCTAGTTACCTTAGTATTTCTCTACTTTGGTCAGTGAGTTTAATTCTGAGCCATTTGGATATAAATGAGTTTATTCTATCCATGTAAATAATGTTATGATGAAGAAAAAACTATACAAGCATATTTCTGTAGGGCAATGATGACATTTCTAAGGTAAAACAAAGTGGGACAATGGGTAAATACAAAAGATATAAGAATGATAATAATCTGTATTCTCCCAAGATACCAATCAAACACTTGTAACCATACCATTATTTATATTGTTATTAATTACAGATGGGGCACACTGAGAGGAGCACAGGGGCGGAGAGAAAAATTTTGGGTATGTAACTTTTTATAATTGAATTTCTGCTGTGAAGTGAATACTGTAGAATCTTCTGTTCCTCTTCTCCCTGCTTTGTATTATTTAGTTGCATTTCAAGTTACTGTAATGTTGTTTATAACATTGGTGTTTTTTCCAGGACAACACTCATTATAATAATTTGCATTGTATTAATAATTTTCCTCAGCTCCTATTATTTCAAATTGTAACAGAGGAATCAGTATTTTTTTTGAAGTTGAGAATCAACAGGACAACTTTTTATTCCATTTTCATCTATATTAAACTTAAAGTAATGATCAAATTTTCTCATATGTGTATATATGTCAACCAACTTGATGCTTTTATGTTAGTATCATATATATGTATATATGTATGTATATGTGTGTATATATATACACACTACAGGTTAAGGTTTTCTTTCTTTTTGCCAATTCTAATATACACATATATTTGTGGAGAAAGAACCAATGTCTAATTTCAAAAACAACAGAAAAGTACAGATAAGAAACATTTTGAAGAAGATTGGAATAAATTACCCCAAATATTGTTTATTACAATGAAGTTAGTGAATGTCCCAAGTCCTAACATAATATACTTTTTTATGTAAATAGAATCAAGTCTAGGTGACAATACTTACAGAATTTAAAATTGAAGATACAAAGTAGAGGGCATATTTTAGCTTACAAAATGCTAGGTTTTAGGACTTGTATTTATCAGAGTGACTCTTAGTAGAGTTCTTCATAAGGCACTCACAGATTTCAATTACTCAAGTATATAGTTACACTTTATATTTGTCTTTTTGATATATGGAGATATTATGCTTTTAATATTCATTTTTGTATTTAAACAGCATTTTAAAATGCCCTTTTCCTCATTAAAATAAAATTTGAAGTAGTCAACAATTAACATTAATGTCCAATAGATAAAATAAATGAATTATAAAAGAGAATATAGTAACTGAATGCCTACAATTTTCTATGTGAAATTTTTATTAAATAAATTTGAACAGTTGTTCAACCTCATAACAGTATAATATTTAGAGACAAAAATAAGTTCTTTGAATAATGTATTTAACTCCCAACTTTTAGCATATTTCACCTTATAGCCCTTTGTTGAGTGGCTGATTGAATGTGCAGAGGAAAATGTTTTGTGGTCCTCTCATCTTCAACCTGATCATTTCCACCCTAGGGTCCCATAGGTGGTGTACATGTATACACACACACACACACACACACACACACACACACACACACACGCATGCTATTATACATTCATTTTCATATATTTAACACATACATGCACATAGTTCCTTAAGTTACTTTTGTTACAGTTATTATCAATTCTGAACTTACTACTTTTCAAAAATTTTCCAAGAATATTTTATTTCATAGGGCTAGGGACAGGATTTCTTTCTGCCATGATTCTTTTGGATAAACTATTGAGTGTAAGTGGTAGGAATACATGAATCAGACTGAAATTTAGGATATTTTACTAAATTGCACATTTTGGTAGGTTTTTCCTGCCACTAAACTGTTTACTCATATCTGACCAGGATCATATTTGCTATATTTACCAATGTATCCCAAGGGCAAACTATTGTGACTGGTCCATGATGGGAATATAAACTTTTTAAAATAAAATAATTAATGAATAACTTTATGCATTCAGGATAAAACTAATCAAGTGATTACTATAATTTATTTATATAAAACTTAATAGTGGTTTAATTAAAATATAACATCTTTAAGTACTGTCGTACTGTTTTGTAAATAAATGTAAAAGGTCTGAGATAGTATCTCAGAGATATGGGTATATCTATATATGAATATAGATATAGATATAGATGGAGATGGAGATGGAGTTGGAGACATAGACATAGATATAAGAGGGCCCCCACCAAAAACCAAAATTATCTTTGGGAGGGTGGGCCCCTTGTATTACAGGGTTCCTCCATTAGATAAGTATTCTAGGAACCCACTGGTATCAGTGTACCAGTTAGCATTATTGTGAGAGGTTGTGTTTGGCTTCAATGGATTTTTTTTTTCGAGATACTTTCAATATGTTTGCCTGTTTCTTGATGGGTGATTTACAAGGGCACCTGCTGACACTGCACTGAGTATTCAGCCATTTTAAACCAAAAACAGGCTTGACTCCCATGCCCCACCCTCCCTATTAACCTGATCTCGCTCCAAGCAACTTTTTATTTTTGCTTCCCTAGATGAAAACACACACAAAGGGAAGCATTTTGCCAATGTGGAAGAGGTGAAAGAAAAAATGGCAGAACTAAAGGCATCAAAATCGATGAGTTCAAAACTGTTTTGAACAGTGGAAAAAGTGTCTCGATAGGTGCTTTGCATCAGAGAGTACTTTGAAGGTGACTGAAATTTAGACACAATAATAAATAAAACATTTTTGATAAATAATTTCTGGTTTTAAAAAATCCCTCCTCGTATAGATATAGCACCTGTGTCAGAAATAAGGAGTTTTTAATTGATATAACCAGATCAATAGCCAGAGTAACACCGCAGGGTCACAGCATGAATCCCTCACATCTTACTCTTCCTGGTGATATAAGAACCTATGGAAATTTTCTACACTGGTAGCAGTTTATATTTTATAAATGAGGGCCAAAAAACAATAGATTTTCTGCATTTGTATAGAGAGAAAGGCAGATTCCTCCTTCCCTGACAAAGAAAAAACTTTCATTCCATTTAGATGATATGGTCAGGATCCTGTGTTCTCACTCTAACCTTCAGGGTTAGAGAAACACCATACATTGTCTGACCTTCTTCTCTTTGACATGTGAATACCAAAGGAGATAACATTCTAGTACTTTTGGCACTTTGGGGCTTATTTTAGGACCTTGTCTGTGCTCTAACCCTTTGAGCCTCCTGAGGAGATAAGAGGAATTTTATTATCCCTTTAGATCAATTCCCTAGACCCAATTCTACAGATCTAATTCTCAGGGTATGTGAAGAGTAGAATATTTCTGGGAGAAGTGAAAGCAAACTTCCCTATTTCATATAGTATATATTTTTTGTGGGTCAGGAAAGCTAGGACATTATTTAAGAGCACTGAGAAATCTAGACAAGTTTTGTTTCCCCACAATTATATATGGTCATTTCAAAATATTTGCAAATGAGCCTACAACATAGGCCTATTTTTGTAATAAAAATAATTGTATGACTTTCATTACTGAGTAAAATGTAAGAGATAGCAGCAAGCCATAAATTCCACTAAGTAGAAAATAGCATAGCTTTTCATATTTATAGTTTTCTTCTATTAAAAAAAAGGAGATTTCCTGTCCTAAGAGCATTTGGTAGGTCAGGCACAGGGTGAGGCTTAGGTTTGTAACAGGCAAAGATAACTTCTAGAAGAAAGAGGATGCAGCTGTATTGGAATTTAGAGGAACACAAGATATACAGCCTTTTCTTCCCATGGAGCATTTACCAAGTGCTGAGGTAGAGTGAGTAGATAAGAAGGGATGGCAAGGCAGAGTGAAATTTGCAGCACTGAGAAGCCTGGGGAAGAGTCCCATCTGAAAAGAGCCTGAAGAAAACATATGATGGGGTAACCCTTGAAATATATGAAAGCAGGTATAGACTGAGTTTAACAAAACCTTCTCTCTAGCCCTGACCCAACTCAGTTTCTGCTCTCTCTCTCTTTCTTTCTCTTTCTCTTTCTCTATATAGGAGAAAGGCAGATTCCTTCTTTCCCAGACAAAGAAAAAAACTTTCATTCCATTTAGATGAGATGGTCAGGATCCTGTGTTCTTTATAAAAAATATTTATTATAAAGATGTGATGTACAATTCAGGGTTAGGTATACAAACATTGATTAGGCAGGTACCCTTGTTGATGAGGGGTGCCCCTCCTTCCCCTAGCAAGTTCCCTCAACTGCCTATCCCCCCCGCCTCCCCTGACAGTTTCCCACTGCTTCCACTCCCTTTCTCATCCAACTCAGTTTCTGATTGAGTGACTAGATTGAGTTGATCAGTCTCTTACCATATCTCTCTAGAAGAATAAAGAGCTAAACTTCTTTTGTGGAAAATAATTTCAATCCCACTCTCTATAATTATCATAACAAAATATCTAGCATACATTTAAATATTGTAAAATAGGGGAAGCAAAACAAAACCTGACCAGTAATCAAAGGGAAAAAAAACTATCAGTAGAAATTAATAGATGATACTTTAGATGTAGGCTTCAAAATTAGAATTATAAAAAACATTAAGGAAAATATGAGTGAAAAGATGGAGAAATTTAATCTATAAAAAAATCAAAATCAGTTTTTAAATTTGTGAATGCCATGTCCATAATTAAGAACTCACTGCATGTGTTAAGTGACAGACAGGATTGATAATCTTAAAGTTGAATAAAATATATTCACATTGTAATACACAGAAAACAAGTAATGGAAAAAAAAATCAAATCTCGAACAGGTGGGACACAATCAAATGGTTTAACATACATATAATTACAGTCCAGAAGAATAAGAGAAAGAGGCAGAATCAGTATTTGAAGTCATGATGGCCAAGTTTTTCAAAACTAAAAGACATAAAGATTCAGGAGTTTTCATAAACTCCAAGCAGAAGAATTCAAGAAAGCCATACCCAAATATTTCATAATAAAATAGCTAAAAATTAAAAATAAAGAGAAAAAATGTAAGACAAAGAGAAGCATTTTAAAGCAGTCACAGTTTAAAATGACACATTGCTCTAAAAAAGAGTAGCATTAGCTGACAGCTAAGATTTTAGCAGAAAATAAGGAAGATAGAAGACAACAAAGTGACACTGTGAAAGTGCTAGATAAAATAATGATGATGATGGTAATGGTGATGGTGATGTAGATAATGACCTACTTAGAATTTTACACATGGTAACTTTTTTTCAAAATAAAACAAAAATAAGATATTTTTAGACAAAAATAAAACCACTTCAAAAAAACATAAATCAAAAGTTACAGGTTAAAAGAGAAATAGAGAAATATTTTAACATCTCT